GGGGGAAGGAGGCCTTGTCGAACGGTGTGTCGACCGATGCAATGCCAGAATTACTCTGACTATTACACCAAAAGGTAGGTGTACCGATCGATGCAATGCCAGAATAACTCCGACTAACTAACTTGGGTAAAATACTTTTTATAAGTATTTAGGATAAATACTCGAATATTTACAAAAAATAGTATTCCGAATATGTATTCAAATTATAATGTTTATCAGTGATAAAAATATTTTGCTTGTTACAAGTGACGATAATATAACAGATTATATGTGTATAACAATAGCCAGGTTGTCTACACATTTCTTACACAAAACTATAAAATAACCATAAACCTAAATAATAAACCAAATCTACATTTTGATTTAAGTCCAATAAAATTAAATATATGCATAACAATATTAAAATAATTATTTTTGATCAGACCGAAATCGCGGTGGTTGCGTAATAATACTTGCCACCGTAATTTTATAATTATTTTTTATCGTATCACCACCGGCCAATTAACACACACACGCACACGTAATTTTAATTTTGTTTTAATAATTGTTTGTGAATTATTATCATGTGTTATATAACTGAAAAGGCCGATAATGTGTGTGTGTGTATCATTCTAATATTGTATGTGATTTCTCTCTCGCAAAAACCACCGTCGAAATTCAGATTAAAAATCTGATCAGAAAGTTCTGTGTGCGCGAATCGCCGCAAATTGTGATTTTTATAATTTTCTTTAAAAACGTGTGCACAAATTGCCTCATACATTTATTATTTTATTGTAGGCGCAAATCGCCGATTATTCGTAGTTTATTATTGTTATTATACGTGCGCTAATCGCAGTAAATTTTATTTTAACTATATTATGTGTGCGCTAATCGCCACTATTTCTTTTTAATTATTATTGTGTGTTAAATTACAGTTTTTAGGTAGTTGCAGTCTGCGCTCCACCAAATTGTGAGTTTTATATATTTATTCATAAATTATTTATATTGCGCCAAAAGGACCACGTATTTATATTTATTTTGTTATCTAGTTGGCCAAAAGGGCCATAATTATTTAATTATTATTTAATTGAATCTTCTATGTTGCTGTGAATTATTTTTTGGTATTACCTAATTATTTTAAATCTTATAATTTGTTATTGGGCCAGAAGAGCCGATTCCTATAATTATTTTTATTTTATAAATACAACAACATAGTTATTTTTTACATTATTTTTAGTTACCTTTTTTTATTCCTTCCGTGATTTTAAGCATACACAATACACATACATACATACACACTCCTACATACAATATCATAACATAACTCACTAGTATTTGTGAGGCGAACCCGAACACCACTAGTTGAGCTATCACACCACTACACACCATAACAATTGGCTGATCGGTGGTGTGCGACACGCACAAATTGGTGTCCGGGAGTGCGGCATAGTATTTGTTGCATCCGGCCCAAACCATTTTTATTTAAGTGTTCTTGGATAAATTGTAAATTAAATATAAAAAATAAATTTTAAAACGTCGTATTAATTATATAATATTAATAGCATGTTCTTAAAAATAGTTCAATACAAGTAAAATATTATATAAATAGTTAAGTAAAATGCTTAAAAACAAAACTTTCAGCATTCTTAATATTTCTGTACTTTGTTTACACATTAAGTCAGTTGACCAACAACCCTTTCGTAGTTCATCAAAAACAATGATTCTAAATTATCTTGTGTTACACAACTTCTTATTAGTTTTTTTATAATTTTAAATTTAGAAAACGATCGTTCACACGTTACTTGAGTAAAAGGAATTGTTAAAAGAAATTTGTAAACTTCAAATAATCCATTATACTCTAAAGCAGGGATGGCGAACCTATGGAACGCTGACTAAATTTTAATGGCACGCGCAAAAAATTTAAATTATTAAAAATTGTACACACAAAAAAAAAAATATTTATATTATTTATAAAATGTTGGTTATAAGAAATTCAAATAAACAAATGATATATATTTTAAAAATGACAATATTCCTTATGCTTTCATATTTTTCGTCAACTTTAATCTGTGAAAGCTTATTCACCATAACAAATTTAATTTAATTTAATTAAAAATGAAAGAAATGTTTGGACCAATGAAACAATTTCTGCTTGTGTTTCACTAAGAATGATTAAAATTTAATAAAAATAATATAATAAATTTGTAATTTTATTTTTATTCTTAGAAAATATAATATTCTTTAGGCACGTGAAAGATTTTCAAAACCTAAAAAGGAAAAATTTGGCAGTTGAACCAAAAAACCCCTGCTCTAGAGATTACATATTGAACTCATAAATAACATTTAATATGTATAATAAATATGAATTACATTTTTTTCTTGTACACATTATATTACTATAATTTTCCTGAAAATATTCAAAATTACCGTTGATAATTATTAAATAATCCAAGTAATTTATAATTAACTTTATTATAAACAAATACAGTCAGGGTACACCATGTACCCACATGCCGCTTTGTCATGTCTAGTGCTCTTATTACAATTCACTAGAATTATAAATAAAAATAATTTGTCTTCTATGAATATAATATATACATATTATACATCATTTATACATATTATCAGTGCTCGAATTGGGAAAAATTAAGTAGAGGAGCTCAGTCCAACGATTCGAAAACTGCGTTCCACGTGCGCAATTATTTAACACAGACCCATAGAGGATTCGTCCCTCACCCCTACCCTCCGCCAACCTTACATATATTTTGAATACCACATTTCAGCTAAACAAATATTTTAATTCCAAATATAATATATCTTGATAGCAATACCAACATCCTACATGTTACAATAGAAAATAAAAATAAAATAATAATTAACATAATTGTAGGCGATCAGGCAGTTTCATGAATCGAATGATATAATCATATATTTGGTTTTTATCTATTTTTACTCTTTAGTACGGGTCACGGCCGAAGATTAGTCGTGGTGCGGGCATTTATTTTTTTCCGAAATGCCGATATCGTCGATCGCCAATATTAATAACAAACCGTACAATGTATAAAGTATAATACACCAAATTCACAGACATTGCTATTTATATTTTTCCAGAAATGACGACGTTGTCCCTTATCATAACCACCATATAATCTTTAATTATGAAAATAGTTTTGATATTATAAATCGTAAAATTCGTTTTCAAATTGACGTAAATCGAAATTCACATAAAAATTATTTTGGACATCAATTAGGATGAATGTGGCTTCCCCCAGTTCCGGTGAAAAAATATAGTTGGGGTACGCAAAAAAAAAAAAAAAATAGAAGAGGAGCTCCGTCCCCCTGCGCACCACCCTCAATTCGAGCACTGCATATTATACATATTATTATTGATAATAAATACTATTATATATATTATGTATAAGCAGGGCAAGAGGGCATGGGCCAGGGGCGCAAATTTCAACACTACTCATGTAATAATTTTTACAAAATATGAAAAAAATGCAGTTAAAACAATTTAATTTGATAAATTTGCCTCTATAAAAGCAAGAAAAGTACTACTGTATTAAAATAAATTTAAAATCAACTAACATAATTTTATAACAAAAACATTTGAAGAAAATTACATATTTTTATAATGCATTGATTGTTTATATTTTAAAGTAATACAAATAGTTATTAAAGTTTATTACCTTGTATACTAGGTTTTTATACATGCTTTATATATTCCAAATGATTTTTTGTAAAAAAATATAAATTTTCCATGGGGGGGGGGGGCTAATACAGTGATTCGCCAGGGGCACCACCAGAACTCAATACGGGCCTGTGTATAAGTATAAAATAGTTAAATATAATCAAAGCTAATAGTAATACGAGTAGTTTACTAAAAATTGCATCATCGGTAAATAACCAACGACATTTATTATTTGTCCTATACGTAATTTTCTCTTTTCAATTAATCAATTAAAATTGTTAAAAATAATAAAATTACTGAATTTAACTGAAACTACAAGTACCTATTTGGTAAGGGGCCCAGTTCTCATAAATTTTAAGAGGGCCTACCAGAATTTTCCCGGTATCCCGGTGGGCCAGTACGGGCCTATATATCTATACGTCATTTACTTATATGGTGAATGTTTTTCTATTTTAAATAATTGTACAATTATTGTTATTATTAAGTGGATAAATTATTTCAATACAATGGAAAATTAAAAATACTTTCCGATGTTTGACTAAAATTTTTGAATATATGTAACCTACGACGAATTCATTGATATTTTATCTAGACTATTAATAAAGGGAATTTTTTTTTTTGTTTTTTACTATATATTGTTTTGATTATTTCATCATTATTATTGTTGTGTAAAAATGTTTATTTTTCATACATTGTGTTCGGTGGCGCAAATGAAAAAAAATTAAGGGGAGTTCAAGCGACCAGCAGTTTTTTTTTAATTAAATGTACATTATTTTAAAAATATTTGTATTTCTATAATTCGGTTTAAAATGCAGTAGATAATTTATACGTATAAAACATACTTGTACTTACAAATGTTTTCTCAATAAATAAATAAATACATTTTATTTCTAATAATAATAACCAGAGTTAGGATGTCAATGACCTTTAAACCAACATAAAAATGTCCTAAAAAAAAGCTAAAATGCCATAAATACTCTAAAAAATGAATATCATAAATGACCAAAAAATCTACATAAATAAGTGAAAACAATTGAAAATTAAAAATAATAATTATTATTGGAGATATAGGTGTGGTAATAGATGTCAGAGTACCTTAAGCTTATTTAAAAAATGTTTAACACTAAAATAAATAAATTGATAATTTGTATTTTTTCTAATTTTTATTAAAAAAAAAATATTATTTTGTCTTAATTTAATTTTCTTATAATTAATTAAATGTCCCTTAATTTTTTTTAAATTTTCCGAAGACGAAATTTTATAATTTAATCTCCTATAATATAACCCGGTTTATAATAATTTTTTTTAATTTTATATAAATAACTATATACTAATTATAGGGCAATAATTTATTGAAAGGGACGGGATCTTTTATTTGCACGGAGCGGCAAAATACTAAACACCGACTCTGGTTACATGCGCTATAGCCTAATAGTATTCGTAAAAATTGCTTTGAAACAGATACTTCAATGAGGGTGTTAAAAACTATTACAAATTTAGCAGATCTTGGTATTTCATGGGTTAATGTTTTTTATAGTTAAAATAAATTGTTGTATATAAAAAAACCGTTCATTCTACAATACTGAATCAACCCAATCGGTTTATCTAACTCAGTGTTTCTCAAAATATTTCAACCACGGAGTGTTTTTTTTTAACAGTGTTTTCTTGAGGAGCCTCAAGAAATATTTAGCATTAAGTTTTATTTGTTTGTGATCTATGAAGCATATTACACCTGATATGTATTTATATGGGAAGAAATTCAATAATAGAAGTTCACATTTAATATTATGTTTATAAACAGTACCTACATATGGCTGGGAAATAAGTTAATAATTAAAATTAGTTAAAAAGCAGTTTTTGGATCTTGAATATCCCAGAAAATATTTATAAAACTAGAATTTTAAATGCAATGTAAATCCATTTCCGTACCTACTGCTTATTTTTACTCCATGTATGTTGTACAAATAATAATAAGAATGTACCAAATTAAAAATATAATTACAAATTATGATGATTATCATAATTTGAAATCACTATGTTTATGATGATAGTATGTTATATGAATAAAATTAGAATTTACATAAAATATTTATTTGGTCTATGAGCAACCCTTTACTACCTATATATTAAAATATAATTTTTCAATCAAATAGATTTTATCATTTGAATTACTCAATTGATTTATTATATTTTATGGGAGCGATCTTCTTGTTTATATAATATTATAATATTATAATACATTTTTTTTTAATAATTGAAGATATTATATTGTATAAAATGCATTTCTAGATTTATTGTAATCACAAAGTCTTGGTTTAATACACTAAAAGTAATTGATCAATAATAGCATCAGCTATAGATATAACAAAATATAAAACAATGAATTACTTAAAACACTTTTTTTTTATTTTTTTTTCTTATAAAACATAAAATAAAAAATCACATCAAAAAAGCAATATTCATCTTCAATATTTTCTCCGGTAAACACCTATTAATATTTTACACATATAATATCAAATACATTAACATCTAGTGTTTTAGACCATACAATTTATTTCTAATAAATATCTTAAAAAAGGTTAATTTTGTTGAATATACAAAATATTACTTTCATAAATTGGAATTTCCCCCGGTCTGAGGAACATTTTTTTAGTTTAATTTTGTTGAGAGAGCTTGTGGGTCCAGGTACAAAGTAAAAGTTATGAAAATAAAAAAAAAACCTAAAAATCAAAAAATAATCACAATGATTGTCCACAAATACAAAAAGAAAAGTAAAAAAAAATTATAAAAATTTAATCAAATACTGTAAATAACATATTTTTATTTGAAAATATAATACTGTTTATTTGGGAATTAAAATTCATAAAAATTAAATATAAAATTTTAATATTTATTTTATTGATAATCATTATTTCTTACACATGTATGATAAAGGAAAAGAAAAATAAACATCATGAGTATAAAAATATGTTAATACATATATCTTCAACAGACTAAAAATAACTCGTTAAATAAATTATTATTATTCATTTCAGTTTTTAATAAGATTAGATGATAGTTATTATTTCAAATAAATGGATGTAATTTTGATAAGTACTTAGCTTAAGTACAATGAACGGAGTGGGAATTATATTTTGGAATAGTTTTTTTTATTAAATAACTTAAAAGTTAAAAAGAGTTAATTAATAATGATGATAAAATATCAACATAAATATTGATAAATTAACAACGATGTATGGTTTTTAAAATAATATTACAGAAATTTAATGCAATATTACGTTCTTTATGTTATATAATAACTTAATCTTATATTTTAATCATACTATGACCTACTAAATACATCACAGCACAATTTTTTATTTTTTACAATTTTTTTTCGTTTAAAACGATTAAAAATAAAAATTTAAGATAAAAATATATCTAATTATTTACTGAGTAATTTTTTTTCTCAATTGAAATATATAACATTTTTTTGACTAGGAGTATTACCGATGAAGGCTTATGAAGGATTGGAGCAGCCGAGTAGCCTACGGAGGCAGTTCCAACATGTATGATCACCAGGTTGAACTTAGTGTCACAGGTGGTTACTTTTTCTTGGTAGACTATTGTCCAGGGTAAATATACTGTTTTAAAATGTTTAAAATTATGTTTTAAATTATAGCTCTGCCATTTTAATGACCGAATTACATCATATTGGCCAACTTTAAAAAGTTCATTTTAAGTAGTATCATCATAATGAGATTTAGTTTGAGAAACCATTTTAAGTATTGAATAAAATTTAATTGAGGTTTAAAATATGTAAAATATTTGTCACTTTATCGTCTTAGTTGGAATGTTATAAGAGAATTGAAAAAAAAAATCAGTACATATAAAATATACAAAAACAGTGAGTTATATAGGACTAACTAAAAAAAAATATATATCTATTTATATTTTAACCAAAATTATTAGAGTTTATGATAGTGAAAGTGTCGATGGTTTAGTATCGGACTTCAGATTGGTATCCGGTCGAGTCGTGTCTTTTTCAGTTTTACGAACTTCCTTAGAATCCGGTCGACTTTCCTGCTATTACAAATAATTATCAAAATATAACAATAATGTATATGGTGTAAATAATTATATATATTTTTAACTAACATTGAGCTGATCGGAAGTCTGTTTGGCCTGTAAGCGGTTTTGCACGATTTTTAAATGTTTTACTATATAGTCTTCGTGTGGTGCCATCAGGTGAGCTTTTTGTAAACAAGTTTCAGCCTCTTTTAGCAGACCGCGTTCTACGTACACCACACAGAGATTATGCATTCCTTGTGTGTTGTCAGGATCCAATTGTAAGATTCTTTGGTAGCACTGAAAACATACCAAAACATGTAAAAATAAAATACAAAGCTAAGGGTATAATCAGCGGTGCATTGGTATATATTTCAGGGTATACGCACAAAAAAAATATAAATCTTAAACCCAAAAATCTCATTTCACTCGACAATTTTTTTTCTAGCTTTCTTCAAATAAATTTAATTAACCCCTTACAGGTTTATAATTTTTAATAAGACTATAAAATACAACACCGCGAGATATACATTTGCCATGCATTATAAATTGCATGATGCATATTTAAGAACAATAGGTTGAAAGTCCATATTATATTTAATAACATATATTATTCAAAATGTTATTTACTAAATTGAACTTAAAATATATTAAGCTCAGAGTACATTGTAATCTTCAACAGATAAATATTTCATTCAAACTTCTTTATTCATAACAATTTTTTTCAATGAACTATTATTTTTTTTTTTTTTTTTTGGTCTTTGAGTTATTTTAGAAGCGTATAAACGTAAAATAATATTTTACATTAGGTATTACGTATATACGCCGATTATCGAAAATCTGCTGTAAAGGATACGGCGTATACCCACGTATACGTACCAATACACGTCTGGGTATAATTATAGATGTAAGGTGTTCTTACTAGTGATGGGAATTATTCGAATATTAGTATTCGTTGCTACAATACAATACGTAACGAAAATTATTCGTTTAAGTTTTCACGCAATACAAAACGTTTAATAATAATATTATATGGCTTATGGTGCATAAAGACCTGCGAGAAGTGGATTCGAAGCCAGCAATATTTACTATTTGACAAGGCAATTAAAATACAAAAATAAAAATTGTGCAAAATACTCGAATATCATAATTAAATTATTTTTAATATAATATAAACTATAAATCACTATAGCAAGCATTGCTTAGAACGAGATACTGCTTACAACAAGCAAAATGTTAGGTCCTGGCACGGCACATATGATTGTATGTTCAAATATATGTGTACAACGAGTATGGATATTACGAGTTATCGGCTATAACGAGTAAAATAAAGCTAATTACGAACAGGTTAGGTATCTGCAAGATAAGAATTATTTTTGTATTTAAGTTGTTAATCATTGACATACATTATCTTTAGTTGTGTAGATATAGATTACTTATTAATAATAAATAGCATAAAAAGATTTTCATGGAAAAATGGATAAAACAAATTAGGTATTGTAGCATCTAATACTGATATTAGAATTTGAATATTCGAACACTCGAATAATTCGATTATTCGAATACACATTAAATTACTAGTTCTTACGTTTTCGGCTGCGTCAAGGTCCTTGATATTATTGATATAGATATCACCGAGTAGTATCAAAGCTTTGACGTGATCCGGATGGAACCTGACCAACTGATTAAGAAATGGAGCTGCTTGTAGAGGTCTGTGGTCATCGGCTAGCAACAGGGCTAGATTGAACAAAGCAGCTCGGAAATCTTCTTTAATAAGGATCGCCTGCCGAAACCAATGCTCCGCGGCAGGTACGTCACCCTCGTCCATTGCCAGCATACCCAAGTTGAAAAAAACCCGTTCATTTTTTTGGCCCTGAAAGTGTTATATTGCCATGTAACACGATTAGTCATTGGAAAAGCTGTTTTGTGTGTTCCTCAGTTTTTAGAAATCCAACATACGTTCGATAGAAGCCTGAGCAGTCTTTTTTCAGCCAGTTTCCTTAAGTTGGCCTGTCCCAACTCTTGAAGTAATATAGCTGAGTTGAGTAATGCCTGTTCATGGTCTGGATCAAACTCTAAAGCTTTGTCTAAGTAAGCTAATGCTTGTGAATGTTTACCCTGTTCCAAAAGCACCACTCCCAGCTGTAAAGAAATATTTACGGATATTTAATTTTTAAAATGTTACAAGAATACAGTATATAATTACTTACATTATAATATATGTCTGGGTTGTCTGTATCGTAAAACAACGCTCTTTCGTATACTTCTTGCGCTTCTTTCGTTCTGTTGAGCTTGAGCAAAACGTCACCACGGTTAATGTAAGCTTGCGTGTAATCAGATCGCATGCTTATGGCTTGCCGGTAAAGCATATCTGCTTCTTCCAGGCGTGTCTGATTTTTAGCTATTAGATTGGCTAAATTCAGTAGGACGTTTAGATGGTTAGGAGCTATACGAGCCTGGTACGACTCGCCTGGTTTGGCTTTGGGAAGCAATGATTTAGCCTGCAATGATGGTTTTGAAATCAGTCACAATAAACATCGATTTGTATATAGGTTATATTATGTATATTACCTTCAAGTAAGCGTGTTCGGCTTCCTTGTACATTTTTAAATGGTTGTACGTGCGTCCGACATTTATGTGAGCTCCAATGTCATCGTGTTGTACACTGAAGAATAAAATATAAAAAAAAATGTTAACAGATTAGAGCACTAATCGTATAAACGCGAAACATACCTGACGGCTTTTTGAAAGTACACAAGTGCGTCTTGAAAACGGTTTTCCGCTTCCAGTGCATGTCCAACGTTGTTGTACAGCTTGGCGTTTAGTTTGTTCACTTTTAACCCGGATGTGAAAATCGTGTATTCGGAAGACCAGTCCCAGTTCCTAGAGTACGTTTTCATCATGTAAGTGATTATCAGGAGACAGATGGCCGCCCAAATGATTCGGGATTTGCTGCAAATCGAAACTATAAGTCAGATATGAATAAATTTAAATAAGTATTTTTCAGTCTTACCATCTGTCCATTACGAGTCCTAAGCCGTAAGCGACGAGCATGCACAACCCCATCGATGGCATATATAAGACTCGTTCGGCTACAACGAATCCTACTGGAAAAAACATGTTTGACGCAGGGAGAAACGGTAGAATGGTCAATCCCAAACTCTAAAATAATAAAATTATTTTTGATTGCAATTAAATATAAAATAGTCGATTTCGTGATTTCAAAACCTTGACGCATTATTTTCTTTCGCTTACGTATAAATATATTGCATTGAATAATATTGTTTATATACTTAAAATTAGAGCATTAAATAATTATATTAATAAGATAGTTTTTAGTAAAAATCTTTATAATATTTTCAAATATTTTGGGTTCAAAATATTTGAAAATAAAAGTGAAAATTAATCAATAAATGTGCTCAATTTCAAATTAAAATGTCTTCTTACAAAAAGTATTAAACAAATGATTGTACTGTTATACATTACAGGTAATGCTTCAAAGATGATGTGGAAGGGTAAAACACGATTGCGTACGTTCGTAATCGGCGATACCTTTTAAGCTACACGATTCCGTACGGTTTTACCTGATTTTTAACTACACGATTGTGTACGAAGTTTTAAATGTTGATGCCAATTTTCATACCGGTATTGGTGTATACTACATACCTATATGGGAAAACTTAAACAAGTTAATAAATACTTTTTGTTTTAATGCTTTTATTACCTATGTTTATTATTAATGATATCAAATATATCAGGTATAACGAAATTATACGGTATTTTTCGAGTTTTGGTAAAAGTAGTAGGTTTATAGATATCAAGGAATCCAAATTTAAGCATTTTCAAATAATTTCATTCAAATAAAAACTGTCGATTTTATTTATTTATTAATTTGTTACTTTTCTTTTATTTAGTTATCCTCATTTTATTTATTATTTTATTATTAATTTTTTTATGAACTATTATAGAACTGTTAGAACTGTATATGTATTCTGTATTTAGAAATAATACGGTGAAATTAGTAAATTTGACAACGTTGCATACAATTTCATACGCAATCGTGTTTATTTATTTTTCTCACCCACCTTTTTGTTACCCATCTACAAACGTACGCAATTGTGTTCTACCCACATGGAACAAGAGAACAAGGATGAAATACCATAACACCTGTTATAAAACATGTGCTTCTTGATTATAAGATCAAAGGTTTGAAAAATGATTATATTTTTTTACTTAATGAATTGGAAATGAAATCATTTTGACGAGAGGTTGCCGGAAGCTTCGGGAAAAAATAAGCTTCAGTCAGCTATAGACGTAGCTGTATAAATATAATAAAAGCTCAACGCTGATAGCCATACATTTAATAATAGCTAGAGACTGATGGTATTTACCATAATGACGACGACACGTTTAATCCGATTGGACGTGGTAAAAACAGTGTACACAAGAGCGGCGATCACGGAGTACGTAGCTAAGGTAGCTAAATTTCTGGGATCTGAAGTGGACTCGACTAGCGGTATGGTACCCATTGTCCAATCACAGCACAAGTCACACGGAAATATCAGTAACCACGCATTGATGCTCACCAGATAGTTATAAGTCAGCTGTCTTGCTGGCCATTCCGACACACTGGCTGGGTTGTCGAACCTGCAGCAACACAATAATATCTTTTAGTAATACAAAGGTAGGTAGTAATTAAATATATAAATATTGCGGAATTTAAATCGGAATATTCAATGGAATATTGAATGTATGAGCATTATGAATACGGACGAGAACGAAACGTGTTATAGCATTATATTATTATATACTTGGAGATATCACCAAACGTAAAAACGAAAAAAAAAAAAATTAAATAGAGACGGTAAAATTATATTATTAAAAAAACATTTTAATGGAATTACGATGGAAAAAATAGTTGGGAGAAACAATACGAGGGATAAACGAAACGGCGTTTTTGGAGGGATCTAAAGCTAATATGTAAAAAGAGTCGATAAAACATACTATACGCGGAGTGTAATGAAGATTAGATGAAAATCGTTAAGAAAATAAATGGTTTTTCACCGATTTATTCATTTGGCATTTTCAGTTTTATAGATAGAGGTAAACATTTCAAAATTTTTTGCGTATCATTTTCTATAGGTACGGAAGTTCTATGTCAATGCCAATAAAACGCACACGCCCATATCCTATCGGGTTCATTTCGATTTTCATTATATGAGCATATAATAATAATAATAATAATTATAATAATATATATATATATATATTATATATAGTTTTTATTATTCTATAATATGTATACCAATTTTTAAATTGATTTACGTTGCGACAGTAAATATATATATATTACAGTTAAATTCAAAATTTGTCAAAACTGGTTTTAAGTGTACACTTAGGATTTAGATCACACTGGATCTAATAGATCTAATTTTTTTTATACAATCATTATAGACTTGTTACACATGATTTTTGAAATCACACCTAACCCTTGTTCTAATTCTAAGTAAATAATAGTCTTAACTAGTTAACATAAATTTTAATAAAAATAATTTGTGAAAACTATATTTAAAGTATTTTGGGTTTTGTCTGAAACATATTATATATCATACATAACAAATGAAATTTATACTATTAGGGTAGTAAAATTAGTATTATACGTTTATTTTAAGTTACACAATACCTGGTAAATACAGGCAACTTGGAGCCCATGATTTTCAGTCGAAATGCTAGTAAAGCACACGTAGACAATAACAGGAATGCTAACCGTTTGACCGCATCCGAAGGAATGGCCTGTAACCCAGCCGAGATGGAAGCAGAGTTTCCGGTGGTGGTTTTTGGTGAACCACCTCCTCCACCACTAGTTCCGTTGGTGACTGAGTGGTGACTAGTAGCGGCCACTGATAACTTGAACGAGTTCATCAGATCTTTCGGCCTAATCTGATATCGAACAAAAAATCAAAATAAGTATATTTTTCGACATTATGGTTTTGCACTGTATTGCAGACGCGTATTCAAAATAGGATTATGTTAATAAGTAAAAAAAAAACTATACATTATCGCCCGCATTCACTGTTTAATTTTTCTAAATTTATATATACACATTATAAAAGCTGCGGGGCTAGGATGACATTTAAATTATTTCGATTTTCCTAAAGTTTCAGAAAGTGGTTGCATCTAGCTCTCAATAAAAACGTGACTGGTTAGGTTAGGTTATATATACGGTAAGTTTATAACCTACACATATCTGTTCGTCGTCGAAGAGGAGGGCGTCGTCGTCGTCTTGGGGATGACGGTTTATCGCGGAAAATGCGTGTTTATTCCCACAAGCGCCATTAAGCGCACACGTTGTGAGCAATATACGCAAGCATATACACACATAACAATACATACACATACACATACGCACGCATTTATACATAACCATACACGCACGCTACCCAGTCGTTTTCCTACTGAGTGTAGGTAGATAGGTAGGTGTGTACGAGCGGGAACACGTGAGAAACCTTCACAAATTACAATCTGACAGTGAGAAACAATCCGCGGCAGAGACGAGCGCGATTCACGAGCAGAGCAAAATAAAAAGAAGATTAAATACATTTTTATAGACGATATCTTTTTTTAAAATCTTTTTTACCTCGTATAGTTTTTACACGCAATTTTTTCTAACTTGTGTATTTATTTTTGCATCCACACAAATACTCTACTCGATGTTTCACAAACTTTCACCATCAGCGTATGTGGATCAAAAGTTTTGATCTCAATAAGATGTTTTTCAACATGCACCCACATATGTGTTATAATCACGACAGTACTTTTACAACGTTTGAAAAAACCGTATTCGCTTGGTGTTCGAATTCAATGGGGAAAATACATATAAAAATTGTACATATTTACATATTAACCATTTGTTTTGTATACAGGTACACTCACCCTATTTTATCAACACCTAACCAAGTTTTTGGATAAAATCTTCATGGTATCGTGTCTAGTCCTGAGAATATTAAAAATAAAATAATATGGAATTTTACGAATTATTTCGAAGATAGCAAAATGGATTTGCGGAGGAGTTCATATAAAACACGTCCCAATATTTTTTGTTTAGATGAAATTAAAAATATGTGACAGCAAAAACCGGTATAACATTAACGCTTTTTCCAATTCAGCTTTACTACCCTTTTATATATATATTTTTTTTCCATACTCGTATATATTTTTATTTTTCATTCTATATGGGTGATTTATTGTTTTTGGCATAAACTTATACGGGCGTCGGTAGTAAAACATTAAAATAATATATATTTTGGCCAACGAAATTCTATTCCGGGAAGTCGTTTTTTGTTTGATAATATTTATTGATATCTTTATAATTTTCCCAGTTTTATCGGCATATTAATTTGTAAACAAATAATGTATGCGCGTAAAATGGTTCAATCACTACTATTAAAAAATATAAAACAACGGATATATGTAGATTTCCAAAAGTCTGATCAAGTAGAATTGAAAAAATAAAAAATAAAAACCAAAGCGAAAATAATATGTGAAGAGAAACCTTTTATATTTTTACATGATATATCAAGATATATATTTAAGTACGTTACTGAAACGCAGAAAATGTATATCAAACGAATTCTATTACTCGCAGAAATTTTACACGAGATCCCTAGACCACGGAAATATTTTTATATATTTTTAGCATGCGTTAGCCAATTGAAAATATGAGTGTATATATACGTTGTAACAGATCCAGAAGAATAAATGCTATATTTACGCTAAACCCAAAGGAAATCTTTTTTAAAAAGCATTTTCTGTCTTTGCGTAAGCCCTATAAATCTTACTGTACAGCAGTTTTACCATCTTAAATAACGACGAATTTTTACTCGGTTTACACATATGTATAAATGTTTTGACCTACAAATGAAGGAGTCAGATTTGTATATACAAACACAATTAGTTTATTATCTAGAGGTAGCTTTAAAAGCGATACTAGTCTGTGACGGGATAGATGCCAACATGTACGACAATTTAAAATTGACGTTTGGCAAAGATTAATTTGGCATCTTGATGATTATTCACAATATTAGTTTCAGGTACAGTAAAATTATGTGACAATCAGTTACAACCGAAAAAAACTAGAATACATGATGTACAAAGAAAACAAGATAATATATAATAATTAAGTTAAACAAATAATGTTTTCGGAAATAACCATTTAATGACATTATTTTATACTGATTTTTCATATCAATAGTTTAACTATAAATATATGCAAGGCTTAGTAATAAATTTTAATAAATTTAAAAAAAATACGATACTCCTAATTTGGATAGGATACAGGGATGGGTAAATAGAGTTCCTATATTAGTTTTTTAAGTTTAAAACCAATATACTATCGCTTTCTTTAAACATGTTTGATATAGTAAAAAAAAATACATTCCTAAATAAGTTAAGTAGAACTTTTAATGTTTTAACTTTCACAAATAAGGCAATCACTATTTGGGAAAATAAAAAATTCAAAGTGCTTATAAACTTCATTAAAATAATTCGAAACTATAAAATATTTTTAACTAAATAACTATTTCCGTTTAATGGAGATTCGTTTATATTTCAAGTTTTACTGAAAATTAATTTTGTAACGCTTATAAATCATTTTTTTTTACTTTAAATTTATTATTTTATTCTATTTGACTCTAAGTAATGTAATATAAAATCTAATATATAAATTATAGGCTTTGAGTATAATAACTAAAAATTAAATGAATTTTTAATTACGAAAATGTAGCAATGTTCCATAATTTATAATTTTTTAAGTTACGTTAACGAAAATTTGATTTTGACGAAAATTAATATGCTGTAAATTTTACCACTTTTTTCTTCTTAATTGTTGTCATTTTTTTTAACTATTAAGAAAACATAATATAATAGTATAATTATTTAAATAAAAATAAAAACGGCGCTTAAAATAGGCAATCATGATACATTCCTGTCACCAATTTAAATACATCAATTTATCGATTCTACGTCAAAAGAGCGAATGAAAAAGAGCAAACGCATGTGTTTGGCCTTCGTACTTTTGTTTTCGCTTATATGCATAAAAGCAAAAGCAAAAACAAAAGTACGAAAATCAAATGAGCGAAAACAAAAATAGAGAAAAAATGTGGATTTTACAAACTATTAGCTGATGAAATATGCATAGCTCTTATATCTTATATTTTCATCATATTAATTTTATTTGTTTAAATTATTCACAAGTAATTTTATTAGAGGTTTGTGCAGACTGCAATAACTCATGATGATTCTAAAAGAAACTTATAAAAATTCGACAGAAAGATTAAAAAAATATTGTTCATGATTATGATGAGATACCAATTTTTAATTATTTAAGAGTTATTGCGTATAGTTTGTCATTGAAAGTGTGATCATAATATACGATAATACTTTTTACATACAATTGATAATAGAAGTAGCTACAAATTAAAAATAATATATTCTATGTCTTTATTTTTATTTAAATATAGCAATAATAAAATATTTTCACTCTATAAGTTTTTGCTCAAATTATTATTAGCTAATTTGGTTTTAGCTCTTTTGCATTCGCTCATTTGCGTTTACTCTTTAATTGGTAAACCCAATTTATCTATGTTTCACTCAGTCAAAAATATAGTATATACTATTTGAAATATGTTTAAATTAAACGAAGTGAACATTTTCTTCTATGAAATAGACAACAACAATAGTTATAAACATGAGTATTAAGTTTTTAATTTGCTATGAATAAGTTAAAAAAATATACTTGACAGTAAATTACTATTAATTATTTTTATTTTTTATGAACAGATATTCTGTACTGTAGGAATAAATTTACGAAAAAATAACAATAAAATACAATTTTATCAATTTTATTATTCTTTACAGTACACTTTTAGTTTCAATCGATGTATATATAATGTACCTACTGTTTCTACTTATAGAGAGGATGTTGAAAACAATTTGATAAACAATAGTTAACATATATGCGTGCGCGTGCGCGCGCGCGCGCGTGTGTGTGTTTAAGTGAGAAGGACAGAAAGATAATAATATAGAGTCGTAATTAATCATAAAATTTACGCATTAGAAAATCAGTTTAATCATTTAGAAAAAATAAAACTATTCTGCGATGAAAAATGAAGAATAAAGTATAAACTTTGAGTAGAGATTTGTACGTGTTGTTATTGATGTACATAAGCAAATTAAAGGAATGAAATATGAATTACGTGGTTAAATTTGAAATAATATTCGGCCCTCGTCTTCACAATTTATTATATTGTTCTCGTGACAATATTATAATTTATAATATTTTCAAAAGAACGACGTCGCAACTGTTTTTCCTTGAACTTTTCACGTCACTATGAGATTATTATTACATCAATAATTTGTGACCACCATTGCGCATCTTGTAGAGATAACAGTGAAGATATTGAAACATTCTATGCGTAAATAGCAGTGATTGAGTATGCAATGTGCGTTTGTGGAACGTTTTGGAGAAATTAAATTAATTACGAGCTTGATAAAAATTAAAAAAATAGTATAATGTTATATTGTTCATTCTACCCTTAAGATTAGTTTTTAATTGCCGTTTACAGCGTTCAAGGCACGCGGGCGTATTCGTTTCTGTTATTACTCGTATTTCTATTATAGATTTTTAGTTATATTCAACTGTTACTACCATTACAACTATGTTACGACAATAAATTAGTTCAATCAAATAAGCAGACTACGACAAGCGGGTTTGGTTAATAAACGATTAGCATAAGATACAGAGAAAGTTTCGAAATACCTAATTATATCACTTGTTAGTGACGTTTATAAATATAAAAAAATGCAATCAGTTTATATATATCTAATTTTTGGTTTTGTAATTTATCATTATAAGATAATGAGATTAAATTATGCGCAAAAAA